CTGGCATTGATGGTGGACTTTGCTATGGCCCTACCCACTGCCCCGCCCACAGCAGCAAAACAATTGTCATCACTGGCGTCGATGATGGACTCTGTTGTGCCCCCACCCACTGCCCCGCCCACAGCAGCATAACAATCGTCATCACTGGCATTATGGTGGACTCTGCTGTGGCCCTACCCACTGCCCCGCCCACAGCAGCAAAACAATTGTCATCACTGGCACTGATGGTGGACTCGGCTATGGCCCCGCCCACTGCCCCGCCCACAGCAGCGTAATAATTGTCATCACTGGCATTATGGTGGACTCTGCTGTGGCCCTACCCACTGAACCGCCAACAGCAGCATAACATTGGTCATCACTGGCACTGATGGTTGACTCTACTGTGGCCCCACCCACAGCAGTATAACAACTGTCATCACTGGCGTTGCCGGGCCGATCCTGGAAGCACTGGTTTGGGGGCGGGGAGGGCGGTAGTCATCTGGTAGGAGGACTGGCTCCTCGTCCTCTTACCCTTGACCTTTCTGATGACCAGAGTGATGAGGATGATGACAATAATGAGGAGGACTAAGCAGTGGCAACGGCAATCACTGCAATCATCAGTCCATTTGCCAGGCCTAAAATAATAACATGTAATATGTTATAAGCTATATTTTTAGCTTTTCATTTCTAACGTTGACTGGCCCGGCTGCGCCATTGTGGAAGTTTTCATGGTCATTACAGCCATCAGATCCAGAATTCCAACATGGTATGGATGTATTGCTGAGGAAGTGTCCAATTCTTGGGGTTTTTTTTTAGAATGTTGCACGGATTCCAAACGACCCAGGAATGAGTGTTGCATTCCCCACATAAGTTCATGCATGTCAGTGAAATATGACATCCATGGGAGTGTCACATGTGCACCCAGATGCATAAATGTCAGGTGAATATGAATATTCATCGTCCTGATTCATAGCCAATCAGAGTGCTCCATCCAATTTTGGTAGCACGTCCATGCCGTGTGTACAATGGGGTTGCAGATTATTCCAGTTGGTAATTGGAATCAACGTACACACATATGAGGTCAAGGATGCAGGAATCGTTCCTGCGTGTTATTATACCATGCACTTCACATAACCCCAGGACGTTATGTGGTAGTCAACGCCGGGACGTTATGAGGTAGTCAACGCCACTGGTACAGTATGGTATGCCATGGTGCAGGCGGACTTAAACCCGGCCAATTACCGACTTGATTCAAGTCTAGGCTATGAGATTGGCCCATTACCTGAGTGAGTTCTGTAGCTGCATATGGTTCCTTCAATGCTTGACAGCTCCAAGGCAAAGCACATATGTTGCATCCTGGCCATGGCTTCCTGAAATGTTAAGAAAGACAACTTCTCTGATCAGCCACTTGTGGCAATTCTTGAAAGGACACTTGTGATGAAATTAGTTTATGAACAAATTTTGTGCAACTTTCAACTCCTCTTCAATGAATAATCTATTTCACATCCCTTTTTATTGAAAAATGCACTTCTTATAGGCATTTCACAAAAGAAAACTTTTGTGGGAAAGGTTTGCTCAGTTACTGCCGTGTCCTGACACAACAAATCACCAACGAAATCACCAAAGAAATGAAAATTTACGCCAGCACATTTTCCAAAATTCTAGCAATGTTTTGTGCTGAAATAGATGTAACATTGAGGTATCCACCCAGAATGACATCACAGTTTTGCTCATGAATATGGAAATTTGCATTTACATAAAAACAAAGAGCACCAAAATACCCTTGAAAATATCTTGGAATAACGAAAATTGAAAATAAGGAAGGACACAAAGGTACATTATCAAGGACTGCATTAAAAAGAATTCCATTGCATGGCGGGTCCTTTAAAAAGTTTGTTCTTTTCTAAGGATTCTATGCACTACTCTCCTGCTGTAAGCCATGCAGCTAAAATAAACCTACCGGTATGCGCTTGTGGATATTAATAAAAAGGAGTAAGCATACTCTGTGTGAGGACCAGTGTGTAAATTACATACCGTGTGAGGACTACAGACTATGTATTGAAGTCCTCAATCTGTTGTTGAGAACAGTACTCGCATGTACATGTATGTTTGTGTGCTTCGTCTATGGGAGAATTAAAGGTAGAGTAGATCATTTGCAGCTATCCAAAAAGTAACTGACAAAATTATTGTTGAAAGTTTTAATACTTGGTTTAAATATAGTAATGGCAATAAACCCTCTGTGAAAATATTCTTTCTGGCATGCTGTCATTTTCAGAAAACAGTAAAACAAGGCAATTTTCAATGAGACATCAAGTGAGTTGTAAGGTTTGTTCATGTAATTTGAAGAATCTGTGAATGGTTGCGTGCAAGCACTGACATGACGCACAAGCACGCGCCATCGCTAACTATTATTTATTGGTTCGTTGCATGACATCGCGTAGCTGCAATCGGCTGAATGAGAACATGTCCGGGATGCTGATTTTGGGCACAATTGAAATCGATTTGAAATCGAGATCCCAGTATATTGGGTTCTTGGAATGTACAGCAATTACTGAGCTAAAATGTTTTCAGGTTAGTTGTTAAACATCTGCAGATTTTGAGCACTTTTGTAGCGTAAAAAAAAAATGCCTCAATGACAGGACCTCTCTTACCCTTATGACTCTACGCCCCGCCCTTTTTGAGCACCCATATACTGATTTCAAATAGACTGACACCACATTATTGCTGAACATACCTGTTCATCAGTCTGTGATGTGTAAAGTTAGGCGTGGCTCTCCCAAATCTCAGCATTCATCTCAGCAATGGACCAATCAGCCTATGGAGGGCACAAAATATCAATGAATATTCAAATTTAGTCATGCATGAACTGAACTGGGATGCAATAAAAGAGAAAACCTTAAAAATGTGAGTTTTGGAAATTTTGTTACAAAGCACTGCTGATGCTGAATCACTGAAAGAAATACATGTAACAAGTTTTGTTATGATGAATATAATTTAAATGATATATGCAAGAGTAGTGCTGTTGAATGCTATTGATATGCATGTAAAACACCAACTGCACACTAGCTTAAAAATGTTGATAAATATAAAGAAAGTGAAGGAAAATAAAACCCACGACAAAACAAAACTACGTTCCAAAACTAATTACTGCCAGTTCATTTTTACCTCTTTATTTGTTTATTTTTGTCTACACAACAGACTTGAGTATCCATGGGCATCAATAGGTGGGGGATGGGGGGACAAGTCCTCCCTCCCAACTTTTTTAAAGTCAGAGGATATCATATCATTTGTGTTCCCCCCCCCCACTTTTTTTGTCCCCGAATTAAAATTGTTGCCAACATAATGATTCTATAGCTCACAATAGCTGATGACTCCAAACTCAAAAATAGATGATTATTTTGCTCACAACAATTTGAAGTGGTCAGAAATTGCCTCAGATCACACCACAGAGCATCTAGAATACAACATTTTCCGGGGCCCTTGAGCGGACTCTAGACCCCATGCCCGTTAGGGCTTCGCGCTCGCATGAACTCTGTTCAAGATATGCCCCTCCCCCTACTTTCGAGAATCTGGAAATTCCACAAGCGATAGACACCTGTGTGAGTATCCTGACTGGAAACATATCAAAGAATATTAAAACAGGTGTCATCTGCAATAAGAGTCAGCTCAGAATAACTGCATCAGGTAATTGACCCTGAGGCTTCTTTATGTTTACCTTTCCGATAAACCTGTCCATAATCTTGCTAACTACAAGCTCTAGACTCTTGGATCCATTAGATATAAAACACAGTCAGCATGCTGTATTTGATTTCACTATGAGCACGTACCAATTAAAGCTCTACATAAGTGGAATCTGGGGACTGCAAATATTACCAGCCCAACACCTTTGGATCCATTTGATATAAAACACTGTATTTGATTTTACTGTGAGCACATACCAAAGTGCTACGTTATCGGAATTTGGGTACTGGTACTGCAAATATTACCAGCCCAGGACCTTTGGATCCATTTGATATAAAACACTGCATTTGATTTTACTATGAGCACGTACCAAGGCTCGTACCAAATGAGTGTACTCAAAATCAGGTGACATGGGCTGTGTTGATACAGAGGGGCGTATACATAGATCGCCATCTTTGTTCATTTCAACCACTGCCGTAAGTGACATCAGAATGGGCAGATAGCAGTGGCTCATTTCATGTGTACCTGAAGGTAAGATTTTTATTTAGTGGGTCTACCTGTAAGTTTGTCTATACATCTGATATAAATCACCAGCATCACATTATCTCATATGAAGTACATGTACATGTAAACTCAGCATTTGCCAATTACAAGTGCATATGTATTTACTGGAAATTCAGGTGGATCAGTCAAACCTGTTAGAATACAGACATGTGGAATACATGAATCTCCTTATATTCGTGACAGAAATAAGTGACGTATTGTTTGTACTTTACGAACAAGTGTTAGACCTTTAAGAACGTAGCTTAGTGAATCACAAAATAATAATAAAACAACAAAAAATAAAACCGATGTGAAGGTCAATGTATTTTTGATGAAATTTCTTAAAGGAAAGTGGACTTTGAGTCTACGATTTGAAATATGGGCCAGTTAAAGTACTTGTAATATTTTTTTGGGGTACAGACAATATTTGGTTGCAGTAACTCCAGCTCACCTCAACTCAAACCACCCAGCTGACCCAGGCAAGCTCAAAGGTGGAGTGATAAGACGTCTGCACTAAACAGGAGGTACTTGGTTCGAGCCCCACCTGAGTAACAGTAAGACACCCCTTTTGTATACAAGTGCCCTTTTAACTCTAGCGTAACCCCCCCCCCCCCAATATTTGTAAAGAGTGCCCTTTTTTTTTAAACAATGCCTTTTTTTTTAAACAGTGCCTATTTTGTTACCAGCAGCCTTTTACGAGTACCCTTTTGGGAATTTTGGGCGACTATCAGCAATTGTGCCACCCTGAAAAGTGCCACATATTGTCCATGATCGTCTGGTTTGAACAGCGCCCCAATACGAAGATGAGCCCCCCCATCCCTTTCACTTGTGACCTACTTTTGTTTGACTTGTTATGAATTTTATTACAATTTACCTTTTTGTATCGATTTCCAATGCTGGTCGACTGACCAGCATTGGACAAAACTGACACTTTTCAAACCCCCAAGTTAACAGATTTAGTTTGCAATTAATTACACTCCTATGAATGGGTACAAGCAAGCTAGACTGGTTCCCTGATCCAATTCCCTGACGTCTATAAACTGCTCCATTTCATCATTTTGGGTCTGGAAACCAGTCTACAAGAACAGGATTGTTTTTTGTGGTTTTTCTAGTATCTACAAACACAAAACTTTAAACAAGTCAACATAACAATATTTGCTACAAAATACTAACCACAAAATACATCCATTTCTGAATATTATAGTAGAAACAAATGTTGTGAATTCCCTTTAACAAGGTAACCATATATTGTACATTTGTTGCAACTGATTGCTATTTTCTTTTGAACAAAACTAAACAACAGCAGTTTTAAAACAAGCATATACATGTAGCATGTGAATAGACCTTCAATTTGTGAATAATGTACTTGACAAAAAGTTTTCAACTTTACATCTGACCTATTACAACCATATAATCATTTGAAGTTTGAATACATGTAATTCCAAACCTTTTATTTGTAGGTTAAACGTCCATCCTATCACACAAAGCCCAACAGTGAGGATGGCATCTAATGTTACAGTGCAATCACTGTTGGAGAAGATTAGTGTGGATCATCTGGAATGCTCCATCTGCACCAACCGTTTCAGGCAGCCCAAACTGCTGGACTGTTTGCATAGTTTTTGCCTCCAATGCCTCCAAGAGCTCAGACAGAGCCAATATCCTAGTGGTACAAAGCTGACATGTCCTCTGTGCAGACGTGAAACCATGTTGAAAGGGTCTGGGGTTGCTGATCTCCCTAATATCTTTGCATTCAGTGCCCTGGTGGAAGAAGTTACAATGCAGGAAAAGCTACTGGAAGGTCAAGGGTCAGAGATCAAATGTCAAAACTGTGATGAGGAGAATCAGGCTGTGTCAAGATGCATGGACTGTGATCATTTCCTGTGTCAAGAATGTCAAAAGGCACATGGACGTATGACTTTGATGAAATCTCATAAAATCTACACATTGGCTCAACTTCGATCAGGAGAGATTGTCTACACGAGTAAACTAAGAGATGAAGTTCCCAAATGTGGCAAGCATCCAGATCAGAATCTCAATGTCTACTGCAACTCATGTGAGCAAGTCATATGCACAACATGCTCGGTACTTGATCATGCAAAACACTCACTCACTGGATTACCTGAGGCAGTAGAGAAATGTAAGAAGAAGGTCACAGAAATGGTCCAAAAAAGTGAGAGAAGAAAAACACAATTGAGCACCACCATGGAGGAGACGTGCAAATTTCGCAAGGAGCTGGACACCATGTTTGCCAACTCCAAAAAGAAACTCTCCAAAAAGGCTCAACAGGAGATTACAAAGGTCAAACAGGAGGTTGCAAAGATCCAAAAGGAAGAACACAAATTGATGAAAGAGATGGACAGGATTTATAAAGAAAGAGTAACAACGTTTGAAGCTGCTCAAGCTAAGAACAAGAAAGAGGTGACACAGACACAGCACAAGCTGGAGGAGGTAAAACAACTCATGAAAGAAGCAAGTTGCTATGAGATTCTTGAACTTCAGCAGAAGCTCTTGCATAACCTCAGTGAATTGACAGGGAAACAGCCACAGCAAGTTCCTGACAAGTTGAGCTTCATGGACTTTGAAGAAGGTGAGAGGTCACTTGGGAGACTCATTCTTGACGTAGAGCCACATGCTGCAGAAAATCCAATGCCTAGACCTGCAAGATCATGTATAAAGAAGAAATGGAAACTGAAGACTGAAGTCGAGAACTTTAATTATTATATGCATTGATAGCACATGTTGCAGCACTCTCTGGCAATAAAATACTTGCACTATCTACAATTGAAGACCTTGCAATTTTCACAGTTTCAATTCCCAATAGGCATCAGAAACGATCTCCTATCCCACAAAGGCTACAAATCAATGGCCTCACTAAAGATGTAAGGTGTATTGCAGTGAGCAAGGATGACAAGCTCCTTGCTCTAGATGGTCCAGTAGTCAAGGTCTTCAACAAGCAACATCAGCTCCTCCATCAGTTCACACCAGGTAGAGGGTCAGACAGCCAACCAACATGCCTTGCAGTGGATGACAGTAATCTGATAGCAGTGGGTTATGCCGGCAAGAAGGAGATATCTCTACACAACCCAGATGGATCCCTCATCAGGAGACTACCTGCTCCAATGATTGGATATTATCTGACAATGTACAATCACCGCCTTATCTACACAAACTGGCAAAACAAAAGGTTAGAAAGTGTAGAATTCTATGGTGCCAACAGTGTATTCTCAGTAGACATGGCCAGCAATAGGCTCAACAGGAGATTACAAAGGTCAAACAGGAGGTTGCAAAGATCCAAAAGGAAGAACACAAATTGATGAAAGAGATGGACAGGATTTATAAAGAAAGAGTAACAACGTTTGAAGCTGCTCAAGCTAAGAACAAGAAAGAGGTGACACAGACACAGCACAAGCTGGAGGAGGTAAAACAACTCATGAAAGAAGCAAGTTGCTATGAGATTCTTGAACTTCAGCAGAAGCTCTTGCATAACCTCAGTGAATTGACAGGGAAACAGCAACCGCAAGTTCCTGATAAGTTGACCTTCATGGACTTTAAAGAAGGCGAGAGGTCACTTGGGAGACTCATTCTGGAGGAAGAGTCAAAGACTGCAGCACAGCAATCACCAAGACCTGCAAGATCATGTGTGAAGGAGAAATGGGAACTAAAGACTGAAATCAAGATTACTGAATTAAGTGCAGTTTCATCCGTATCACTGATTGCAGCACCCTCCAACAATAAATTACTTGCACTATCCAAAACACTTCTTGTAAAAAGTGAAAAACTATTCATAGTATCACTGACCAATAGTCAACATGGACCACCTCCTATCCCACAAAGGCTACAAATCAATGGCCTCACTGATGTAAGAAGCATTGCAGTGAGCAAGGATGACAACCTCCGAGTTCTAGATGGTCCAGTAGTCAAAGTCTTCAACAAGCAACATCAGCTCCTCCATCAGTTCACACCAGGTGGAGGGTCAGACAGCCAACCAACATGCCTTGCAGTGGATGACAGCAATCTGATAGCAGTGGGTTATGCTGGCAAGAAGGAGATATCTCTACACAACCCAGATGGATCCCTCATCAGGAGACTGCCTGCTCCAATGATTGGATATTATCTGACAATGTACAATCACCACCTTATCTACACAAACTATAGCAACAAAAGGTTGGTATGTGTAGACTACTATGGTACCAGTGTATTCTCAGTAGACATGACCAGCAACATGCAGGAGGATGGGGACCCTACTGGTGTGTGCTGTGACAGTGATGGCAGCATCTATGTTGTTGTGTGCAAGTATACAACAGGTGATATTCTGCATTACAGTCCTGATGGCAAGTATATTGGATGTGTGATCAAGGCATGTGATCATCCATGTGGCATCACATTCACATCGGATGGTGATCTGGTAGTGGCTGCAGGACAGTCTGTAAAGGTCTATCACCGAGTGTAAGGACAGATTAATTAAACTGGGGCTATCCATGCAGTGTATCCACCAACCACTTTCATCAGATATTGAACGTTGTTATCAATGAAAAATAACTTCAAAGGTTCATTCGCTCAAAAAACATTCGACCATACTGTGTATTTGGTTTATTTCTAAGGTCTTTGGTCTCTGTATGTGTTGACTCTAATACCTCAACCACTTCCCCTTTGGAAAATCTTTGACTTCAACACCCAGCCTACTTCCTATAAAATCTTAGATCTGGTGGTCTAATATGAGAGCAAAGGAATGACCCTTCACATTGTTTGCAAATAGCACAGTGCACATTTTTAAAGAACTACAAATGAGAGGGAAAGTATTACCAATGAGAGGGAAAGTATTATCCATGAGAGGGAAAGTATTACCAATGAGAGAGAAAGTATAACCACGAAAGGCAATTTAGTTCAATTTTCTCAGATTTGTCTCAGCAAATACGAAGTCAATGCATGATGTGTTTCCAAGTACCCTGCTCCTGTATAAAATGTAAATATTTACTTAAATTTTTTTATTCGAATTTTCAAGTATTGTGAAAACTGTTTAGTTTAAATGAATGGAACTATTTTTCCAATGAGAAAGATTTTGCACATCCATGTACCTGTGACAAAGGTAAATTATCCCAAAGCAACTGGATATAATGTGTGTGATTTTGAACTAAAGTGATAGTTTAAAAGTAAATCATGTGCAATCCCTTGGTTGTCTCTTTCACAGTGCTTTCTGAGTGTCTCATCAAATTTGTATTAGTTTCATTACATTTACAACCCAATTGAAAATGAAAACCTTGTGCATTCTACTGAAATGATACATGGATGTTTGTAAATGCAGTTAGTATGATGGATGTACATTTGTAAACTGAATTTTTTTTTTTTTTTTTTGCCTTTCTTAATTTTTTTTTTTTATAAACTTTTAAATACTTCAATAGAAGATGCACTTGGAACATTCTATGAATTTGGGGTCCACTTTTTCCTGTCCCTATACGTCTGACATGTACGATTTTGTAATTGAAGATGCACTCCTTTATGTGTGTACTCTTTCGTCCAAGAATGCTTCTGTGAATCAAATGACCTACTCAACAAATATTAATTAGTTTGAAGTCATTTTTAATGGCACTTGAATGGCAAATGATAAATTTCGGATGTGCAGGGACAGGAAAATGTCAGCCTTTGGATCTTAATTGTATAGAATGACCTAGTTGTGAGAGGTTCCGTATCATTACAATAATAGTTTAGTTTATTCCATAAAGGATTGATGCTTTTGCTTCTTTGAATGAGTATTGGTTAGCTAATTAATGCTGATAGACCAAGAAGTCTAAATGAAGCAATGAGCATTTGCTTTAATTACAGAATATCTCTCCTAGAGAACGCAGCTTCCATGACAACAATGGCATTTCAGCAAAGATCCAAAGTCTGTTATTTTACCAATCAGCATCTTACATACGTTTCAGCTGCATTTTCCACTGGGCATGTGTGACTCCTAGGGTTATTTGCGTATGTAATGAAGTCTGCCTATTTTACATCGATGATGCGACTCAAAAGTATATATTTGTATTTTATCATTTATAGACCACTTAATTTGGAAGCCATTGTTATTGTATCACTAGTTAGTTCATTCAATGTATATTTTGTCAAAGACATTTAAAAAAAAGTTTTCTGAGAACACAGCAACAGTGATTTCATGAAACAACCATCTTTTCTCAGTTGTCGTTTGTTTACATTTAGGACCATTTTGTTTTTGACAAAAACATAATATCAGTGGTTTCCACAACATTTACACTTGTACATAATGGCAGAGGGGATTATCAAGTAATCAGATTTGTGAACACATTTTCTCTTGCTTTTTTTATCTCCTGATTGACCGCATTTGAATATTGTCCAAATGCTCTCAAAATATATTGAGTATGTAACTATGATCTTAGAAAATTAGTCAGGCTTGTTAAGGTCTAGTACCACGTATTGCGAACAAAAACAAACAAACACTACAACAACACTGTTTACGGTCAGCTTTGAAAATTGCTTATTTTTATCAAAACAAAAAAAATGTAGTAAAGAGAAATCTTTTGTATGTTAAAGATCACCTCATGGGGTTTTATGTTCAGTATTTTATTGTCCTGTGAAAACTTCAAATGTCTAGAAATCTTAAGCGAAAAAGTGACACATGAATGATCAAAATTTGTTGGCACCTTAGCAACCACTTTACAAGGGAAATATCACAAAATGAATGGGGCATGCCTATACAAAAAATATTTAAAGTAAATATTTCTTTAAATTACGGGCATAAAAACAGTTAAACTTTACATCTAAAAAGTGGAAGAACTGATATCGTATGGTTGCCGAGGGTGCAGTCAAGTACCCACCACACCTATAGATAACTTATAAATATCGCACATTCTATGGGAGTGAAATGTACGTGATCTGGAACTTCCTAAAGGTACCAGCGGCGTAACTAGGGTTAAGCTTCTAGGGGGCACCTCAGGGTTCATTAAAATTTTTTGAAGGGGGGGGGGCAAGGTAGGTAACATATAACATTTGTTGTGTGCAATTCAAGATTTCAAATGGAGTGGGGGGGGGAGGAGACACGAGGCCCATAGTTACTCCAATGAAAGGTATAAAGAAATAAGAATTTTAACGTCACATCAAGTTTCAACAGTCCCTTACATATTTATAATTAAACTAGTTACGAACCATTAAAAGGTGTGAATGGTAGCAACCCCCTTTAATTGCCTAATGATGCAGTCCACTCTTTTTGAATGAATTGAAATACAAAATGGTTTTGAAGGAATGAAGCCTGAACACTAGTCTGAGTATCGCCCGTTGTATCACCCTCTTTGTCTCTGGTCCAACGTCTGATATATCTAAGCATGCAAATGTATGCGACCCCATGCGCCAACCAATTGGAGTTGACATGACATCATTTCATTCTGAAATCTGGACTAGGCTGTTCATTGGTCAATGTTGATGCTATGTTTTTGTAATACAACAACCAACATGGAGATCCAATAAAACCCGACATTGGCTTTCAAAACTGTTAGCATACGCGAACGCTCATTGTGGGCGAGACGTGGGCGAGAGGTAAACGTGCCAGAGGGCATTCTCATTACGCCCTTTACTTAAAATATGATGTGATGATGATTCAAGGTCACGCTCGTGCATCACGTAACATATCATTACAGGCCGTGATCACGACCTGTAAAATAGACTGTGTCTCACGCCTGAGACACAGTCTATTTTTGCAGACACAATTCACAATATATAAGCATAATGGATGTCGAGCCTAGGTTTTATTAGATATACATGACAACAGGTTCCCGAAGACCCGACATAAAAGCCACCTGCTGAATGGTCTTGAGGTCAAGACGCAGACTTGTTTTGCACAATAATCGCTGAATCTGCTCGCATATCATGGACTCTTGCTGCATACGGGGATATTCCATAGACTACCTTAGTACCCATCCCGCCTACAATTAAGAGCGATTCACAATGCAGTGCAAGTGTGCTAACAAGTGTTTGCCTCAAGAGGCCACTTTTCAACTTAACAATCTTTTGAAATGTATACCAACTTCTACAAAATGAACTTACCTGTACATGGAAGTACATTGGGGAATCTGTTCTTGTTTTTGCAGACAGGTTTCTTGGCTTCCTCACAGTTGACTGCCACTGACATTTCATATAGCACCTACATTTCAAAGTGCACAAATTGACAGACAACACACATTACATTGCTTGTTCTCTCTCTAGCTCGGACCTCAATGACGAATCAAGTTATCTTTGGCTGACTTAATCATTTGCATATTCATTCTTCAGCAAGTGCACGGACAATATAGGCATTCACCGGTATGGCAGAAATATTGAACAGAGTCTGTGACTTGGACTTGAGTTTGACTTGAGTTGCAAATTCTCAGACTTAACTTCAACTAACAATGAATGATGACTCAAACTCAGCTCTCATGACTCAACTCATGACTCAGACTAGACATCGGGGACATGTCACTGGTGAGTCACATTTCACTGACTCAACAAAACATTTTTGGCAAAACTGTCTGGTAATACATTTAGCTATTGCTGATCGAGTGCAAAATTTGGTTTGTTGTTGGTAACAATTGGTTGAAATAAATCCCTTGTATTCTGATATATTCTGCTTTGCAGATACGAAAATTGGAAGATCTGATAATTTCAATTGAAATTCTATAGACTACAGAAATTCATGCAATGTTTTTGAGACTTTTAAATTCTCCAAATATCACTGAGCCAAACTTTTACCCCAAAGTCACCTTGAATTCCTTCACAGGGTCTTGCTTATCTATCTGTTTTTGCAGTGTGGTAATGGTGTTCGGTAGTGACTGACCCAATAAGCACCAACCTTAGCTGGTCTGGTGAGCGTCACGTGTCACATCTCGGCGTCGCTGACCACACGGTCTTGGTCCTTCTAGAGGGGATGTTGGTGCCAGAACCCCAGGAGCTAGAATCGTCGTCCCCATGGGCCTGGGACCTGGGGGAGAAGGGAGGGGGAGAATACAACATCAAATTTCACTGATAAAATACTGTATTAAAATATAGTCACCTGTGGTTATTTTAGTAAACAGTTTTGCACATATTTCATGTTGTTTGAATGTTTAAACATTTAGCCAACATTATCAGGCTGCTGCTGACAATGCCAAGAACTCATTTTACATTCTCCTGGATCAGAATCTCCTTGTCATTCCTCTGTTGGATAAAATCATCCTCCTTGGTGACTTCATATAGGGATCTTGTACAGGGACCACATACACAGTCTGGAGTGGCATCATCAACAAGCATGCAGTTGAGACAACCGATTGCATAAACTCAACCTGCACGCCGATTGAGACCTCACCAAACCCACTACCTATGTCAGATGTCCGATAAGGTTAGCCCTATTTTTTATTAAAACCTCAAGACTTTCAATATTTTCAGCATCCATAGCAAAAATAAAGTGAACAAAATCCATCTAGATTTCAAATTCAGGAAATACAGCTTCTAAGAAAATTTTGCATGCACATGTGTAGCTCACAACTGAAGAAGTCCAGTATTTCAGACCTTGATGCGGGATATATATAACCCCATCAGATTTCTTTAATGAACTCTTTCAGGAATCTGGATCTTAATCTGGCAGAATCCTATTTAATTTATTTTAATATATTTTTATCATATAACATCAAAATAAGTTGGTACAGATGAACTTTTTTCTTCCTATTTTTCTTGTGGCCATCCTATTTTATATCTATTTTTCGAACTGCGTACTACTTTTCGTCTATTTTATTTCAATTATCCTTTCTTAAATTTATTCAGTTGTATTTTTTTGCTATTTCATTGATGTATATGACTGCTAAAAGATGCTCATTTATCAAATGTAGGCAAATGATTCTGCATTAACGCCATGTGCGTGCATTTTCAACATGAGAGATCATCTGCCATATGCTCTACATATTAAGTTGTCACCATTGTCTGTGGGCACTATTTTTTATAAATAGCATTCTATTTTTTTAATAGCAACCTATTTTACCACTATATTTTTTTACTTTTAAATGTTCCCCTTTTGGGAGGGGGGGGGGGCAAAATACACTGGAAAGAAATAGATTAAAAAAATATATATTTTAATAGGAACAAATGTATTTTTTCTCTATTTGTTTTCAACCAAAGTGAGCAAATAGATTATTAGGAAAAATTTATTGACACCAACAAATTCTCTTCAGGCTGAAATTTGAAAATCACCAGGGTTGCTTACTCCAAAATAGCATTGGTGACTTCTGATTCTATTTTTGTGTGGGGCACATGGGTACATGCAAACACTGACTGCTATTTATGCACAGTAAACCTGCATTCATGTGTGCATAAATTACCCCTACAGTACACGTACATGTGGACTCCAATAGCGTCTATAAATAGACCTGGAAATTTATGCACTGTGTGCAACATACTTAGGCATTCATGTACATGTACATGTACAGTGTATTGCATTCACATCAAACGGTGTCAACTGCCTACGTTGTGCGCCATCTTCAAGAAGGATAGTTTCAAATTTTCTTCTAAAACTAACAAAAAGACTTCAATTCAGGTAAGATACTTGATGTTGTACCGTTGTTGTGCCCATATTACACGGCATTTGTCAAGAATCTTGGAATAATTGCCAGTACCGGTATGTGCAGCATTGGTCTTACAAGAGGGAGTAGTCAATGCTCAAATACAATACTCTTGACAAAAATGTCCCTGTTTAGTCTACTGGCTTGAGAGGACTAAACACATCCTTGATCCTACATTTGAACCTCAAATAAAAGTTTAACAGTTGAACAAAGAACTTGATAAGGTGGGGTTTGAACCTATAATCTGCAGAATACTGTATAACACTCAACTGAGCTATTTTGGACCAGCCCTATGTTGGTGGTTCCCTAGTTTGAAATTGTCTTTGTTCAAGGGGCACTAGACAGAGGCCGTTAATGTGTTTACGCCATGTAGCCAGGGATCATGCCCAAAGTTTGCACTGTTTTTTTTTTTTTTCATATCTTTTTTTTCCCCTATACATGCTTTATCATGATTTTCCTCAATGCTATATATATTTTGGTTGATATAAATGTTAAGTATTGTATTGAATGGAATTAAAAAAGGGGGAGGGAGGGCCATGCACCTCAGTCAGCCCGCGCTCCCTTACGAAACAAAAATATTGGGGGTTTTAAAAACTTTAAAGCAATTAGTTTCTCCTCCAGTGAGTGGGACCGCCCAAAAGCCTCCCTGTACATTGGAGTTCATGTCAATGCTTTGAATTAAAAAAATATTACATGTAAGCAAAAAGCATTGACATCAATTTTTATTATTACTTTTTTTTGGGGGGGGGGGGTGTTAAGAGAGGGGCCATCTAATTGCAAGTGCCTTCCTACACATTGGAGTTATGTCAATCAACTGAATTAGTAACATATTACAATTCGTCACCGTTTTCGCAAAGAGCCACATCTGTCAACAATTACATATTTTTTCTCCAATTTCTTTTCTTCACTACTTTAGTTTAAAAAATGTGACATGTTTGTGTAAGCAAAACATCATTAATTTCCAAGTGATGTTAATGTTGCAAGGGGCAGAAATCTCAATAAATGCATTTTGCGTTTTCATGAAGAGCCAAATTTTGGCCCCTTGAATGTGTACAAAACCTATTGCACAGATAGGCACAAAAGTAGGTCAAGTGAGATTTTTGTTTGCACGAAGAGCCACATATATCTTTGTTACATTCTCAGCAGCACGGGCTTACACAGGCACACCCCTTCCATATGGAAAAACACATTGAACAGAATGGGCCAAAATGTAGGAAACTTGAAGTTTCGTTTTCACGAAGAGACACACATCTTTACTAATTAATTTTCGCTAATTAACAACTGTATTAATTCTACATACTGAGTTCACATAAAAATTAAGTTCTCACGGAACCATATGTTGCACAAAGTTGTTGCGAAGTAGTATTTTTTGCAGTTTTAGAGGAGGAGAAAATTCTTTTGTGATTATCTCGAAAACACATTTTCTTCAAAATCCACATGTGGCTCGATCTTCGTGAACACGGTGATGAATTGATACCCATGAACTGAGGAAACAAAACATGCTGACAATGTCTGAGATGATTAATATAATCATTTTATATATTGAAGTCAACCTTTGACACTCTTACTCATTCTTAGGCTAAAAACAAAACTTGATTCTTCAAAAAGTCAAGATGGCATCTAGTGTTACAGCTCAATCAGTGTTGGAGAAGATTAGTGTGGATCATCTGGAATGCTCCATCTGCACCAACCGTTTCAGGCAGCCCAAACTGCTGGACTGTTTGCATAGTTTTTGCCTGCAATGCCTCCAAAAGCTCAGACAGAGCCAAGATCCTAGTGGTACAAAGCTGACATGTCCTCTATGCAGACGTGAAACCATGTTGAAAGGGTCTGGGGTTGCTGATCTCCCTAATAACTTTGCATTCAGTGCTCTGGTGGAGGAAGTTACAATGCAGGAAAAGCTACTGGAAGGTCAAGGGTCAGAGATCAAATGTCAAAACTGTAAAGAGGAGAATCAGGCCATTTCAAGATGCATGGATTGCGATCATTTCCTCTGTCAAGAATGCCAAAAGGCTCATGAACGTATGACTGTCATCAATTCCCACAAAATCTGTACACTGGCTCAACTTCAATCAGGAGAGATTGTCTACAAGAGTAAAATCAGAGAAGAAGTTCCCAAATGTGGCAAGCATCCAGATCAGAATCTCAATGTCTATTGTAATACATGTGAGCAAGTCATATGTCTCATGTGTACTGTTCTATATCATGAAAAACCAAATCACTCTTGTGTTGGCTTACCTGAGGCTTTTGAGAAAAGTAAGAAAAAGGTAGAAAAACTTGTTGCAAAAGTTGGTCAAAGCAAAACAGAACTGAACACCACCATAGAGAAGACTTGCATATCTCGCAAGAAACTTGACACCATGTTTGCAAACACCAAAAAGAAAATCTCAACAAAAGCTGACCAAGAGGTTGCCAAGATCCGACAGGAGGAGCAGAAACTGTTAAAAGAGACTGACAGGATTTACCAAGAGAGAATCACAACATTTGAAGCTGCTCAAGCTACAAATAGCAAAGAGGTGACACAGACGGAGCACAAGCTGGAGGAGGTGAAACAACTCATGAATCAAGCAAGTTGCTATGAGATTCTTGAACTTCAACAGAAGCTCTTGCATAACCTCAGTGAATTGACAGGAAAACAGCCAGAGCAAGTTCCTGACAAGTTGACCTTCATGGATTTTGAAGAAGGTGAGAGGTCACTTGGGAGACTCACTCTGGAGGAAGAACCAAAGGCTGCAACAAAGCAATCACAAAGACCTGGAAGATCATGTGCAGAGGAAAAATGGGAACTGAAGACTGATTTCAAGAACTTTGGATTAACAAATATATCTACATGCTTATCACGGGTTGCAGCACTCTCTAGCAATAAAGTACTTGCACTATCCAATGCAATTTTTAGTGAACATGCAATATTTACAGTTTCAATTCCCAATAGTCATCAGAAACAATCTCCTATCACACAAAGGCTACAAATCAATGGCCTCCAAAATAATGTAAGGTGTATTGCAGTGAGCAAGGATGACAAGCTCCTTGCTCTAGATGGTCCTGTGGTCAAGGTCTTCAACAAGCAACATCAGCTCCTTCATCAGTTCATACCAGGTAGAGGGTCAGACAGCCAACCAGCATGCCTTGCAGTGGATGACAGCAATCTGATTGCAGTGGGTTCTAGAGGCAAGAATGAGATATCTCTACACAACCCAGATGGATCCCTCATCAGGAGACTGCCTGGTCCAAAGATTAAGGATTATCTGACAACGTACAATCACCGGCTTATCTACACAACAGACTTTACCAAAAGGTTGGTATGTGTAGACTACAATGGCGACAGTGTATTCTCAGTAGACATGACCAACAACATACGGGAGCATAAGAACCCTACCGGTGTGTGCTGTGACAGTGATGGCAGCATCTATGTTGCTGTGGGGAGATATCCAACAGGTGATATTCTGCATTACAGTCCTGATGGCAAGTACATTGGATGTGTGATCAAGGGATGTGGTTATACACGGGGCATCACATTCACATCAAATGGTGATCTGGTAGTGGCTGCAGGACAGTCTGTAAAGGTCTATCACCAAGTGTAAGACAAATTAATTAAACTGGGGCTATCCAGTGTATCCACCAACCACCTCCATCAGACATTGAACTTTGTTATCACTGAAAAAGAACTTTAAAGTTCATCCCCTTGAACAACATTCTACAATACAAAATATTTGGTTTATTTCTAAGGACTTTGGTCTCTGTATGTGTTGACTCTACATGTAATACCTCAACCACTTCCCCTTTGGAAAATCTTGGAACTCAACATCCAGTCTACTTCCTATGAAATCTTAGATGTGGTGGTCCAATAATAAAAACAAAGGAACGACCTTTCACATTGTTTGCAAATAGTGCAGAGTGTACATTTTCAAAGTATTACCAACGACAGGGATTGTACTGATCACAAGAGGCAATTCAATTTGTGTCAGCAAATGCAAAGTAAATGCATGATGTGTTTCAAAGTACATGTATAAGATATAACCCTACTCCCAGGGTTGGATCCAGGATTTTCCAAAAGGGGGGGGGGGGGGGGGCGTGAAATATTTTGAAACCTGTGCAGAATTTTGTTGTGACACACCAACTCGTGAAGCCATGTCGTGGGGTTCAAGGCACGTCGTGGGGTTCAAGGCCCGTCTAAGGGCCCCCAAAAATGTTGACCTTTAGAAACTGTCTAGTGCATTTTAGAGCAAATCTGGGGATCTCTGCATTAGATTTTTCCTCAAAATTCAGAGGAGATTTTTAATATTTTAAAAAATGAAATATTGAATAATCATTTCACAAACATTTCAACTTCCTAAACTGGAAATTGGAAAAGTGGGCCTATATGGATTAAAAGTAAGTTTCAAGTTGAGAAATAAGTCGGAAGAACCAAAAAATCTGATTCCTATCACATTCCTATCGCGCCACGAGAGTTATCGAGACTGTCCATCAAAACTTTTTGATAAAAATTTGCCTTACCTAATATGAAAACATATTCAAGGTGGATGTACTTTAAAATAATGAAGAATTTTCACGCCACTATGCTCAATTATGACAATGTTTGTTACAGTCAGCCGCTGGCCAGCACTGGTCGTATATTGCGTCGCGCACACGGCGCACTATCGGTACAGTGCATACAGCAGCACTGTGTACTGTGTAGCGGACCCAGAAATGACCGAAAGTGCTGTGGGCTGAAAAGTTTGCAGAAACTCACTATGGTGTATCACGTATGAGCAGAACAATCTCGTCATAAATATTCATTTTAATGGAGAATACATACACAGAAAAGAGATCACATTCTGGGAATTAATTTGAAGAAATTCTCTTTCTCCATCGATGTTCGTTTGGTATTTTCTTTGAGCCAAATTCAACGCAACGTATATGAAGCCTGTAGTCACTGGTTCCAGTCCTACATCATAGCTTTGATTCTGTTAACACGCGGTGGGAACCAGTGAATGGCACGATGGCACTGCACTGCACTGCCACATGCCATACGGAACATCGTACAGCGGCATGGCTTTGATGTTGTGAATGTGCAATTTGATAACACATGCATCAGAAATACAGGCATTTCCCGTCAAGATTTAGCATGTCCAATTGAAATCAATAATAGCGTGTGTAACATTTTTATTCTGAAGAAAAAAGGAGGGAGCATGCACCCCCCACGCCCCCCCCCCTGGATCCGCCCCGACTCCTGTATAAAATGTAAACATTTCCTTAAATTTTGTTCTTCGATTTTTCAATTATTGTGAAGATTGTTTAGTTTAAATGAATTCAACTTATTTAAATGAGAAAGATTTTGCACCACAGAGTACTCAAAAGCAACTGGATGAAATATTCGTGGTTTTGAACTCAAGCGATACATGTACATGTAATTTCAAAGTAAATCATATGCAATCCCTTTGTTGTCTCTTTCACAGTGCTTTCTGAGTGCCTTATCAAATTAATATTAGTTTCATTGCATATTTACAACCAAGTTAAATATGAAAATCTAGCATTCTACTGCAATGATACATGGATGTTTGTCAATGTGGTTAGTATGATGGATGTACATTTGTAAATTGAAAACTTGTTTGTTCGCCTTTCTTAAATGTGATTTTTAAAATACTGTAAAAGAAGATGCATTTGGAACATTCTATGAATTTGACATCCACTTTTTCCTGTCCCTATACGTCTTGCATCTCGATTTTGTAATAGAAGATGCACTCCTTTATGTGTGTACTCTTCCTCCAAGAATGCTTCTGTGAATCAAATGACCTACCCAACAAATATTAATTAGTTTGACGTCAGTTTTAATGCCACTTGAATAGCAAATTATAAATTTCAGAGGTTACAGGGACAGGAAAAATGTCTGACTTTGGACCCTAAATGTATAGAATGACCTACTTGTGAGAGGTTCCGTATCATTACAATAATAGTTTAGTTTATTCCATAAATGATTGAGACTTTTGCTTCTTTGAATAAGTATTGGTTTGCTTAATGCTGATAGACCAAGTAGTCTAAATGAAGCAATGAGCATTTGCTTTAGGTACAGAATATCTCTCCAAGATAACACAGCTTCTATTACAACAATGGCATTTCAGCAAAGATCCAAAGTCTGTTATTTTACCAATCAGCATCTGGAACTTTTTAAAGGTACCAGCAGCATAACTAGCAGTTTTTTGTAAGTGAAAGGATAATTTTATTTTAATGGTCTTTTGTTTTTCAAAGTCTTTGGAATAGTAGTTTCTATTGAAAAGATGGATACAATGAAAATGGAATGTCATCGGCGTTTTCTTGTGTTGAAAAGGTCAAGACAAACTCAGATTTACAGTATTTTAGAGGGGAACACTGGGACATTGAAAACATTTCAACAGTAAACTGTTTATATTGTGTATGATTGGCCCAATAGATTACAGCAGGCAGCTATGGAAAACATACATTTGTACATGTACAAACTCAACTACCCAGAATGTAATCAAGTTGTGCGGTTCTTCTAATACTTTGTAGATTAAATGAGATTAAAAACATTGTTAATTTGTGAAATAAATGTATAAGTACAAGACAAGTCAAAGGCAGATTGCATAAAGGAACTTCATTTTTTTTTCATATTTCAGGTTTCATTTTGCATGTTTTGGCAAATATGCTAACCTATTTACAATTTTTTTTCGTTTAAATACGTAAACATCACATCCTTAGCATCACGTAACATATCGTTACAGCCCATGTGACACAGCCTAATTTGCTAACATAATTCACAACGTAAAAGCATAATAGATGTCGTGTCTAGGTTTTACTAGATGTACATGACAACAGGTTTAAGAACAAATGTAGAAGGCGCCTGCTGAATGGTCTCGAGGTCAATTAGACGCAGTCTTGTTTTGCATAATAATCAACGAATCCCTTGGATATCATAGACCCATGCTGTACAAGGGGATATTACATCGACTACCTTAGCACCTATCCCCCCTACAATTAATAAGAACAATTCTCATTGCAGTGGGTGTGTGCCTACAAGCGTTTGCCTCAAGAGGCCACTCTTTAGGCAACACTTAGTAATTTCTACAAATGAACTTACCTGTACATGGAAGTACATTGGGGAATCTGTTCTTGTTTTTGCAGACAGGTTTCTTGGCTTCCTCACAGTTGACTGCCACTGACAAATCATATAGCACCTACATTTCAAAGTGAACAAATTGACAAACAACACAAATTACATTGCTTTTTCTCTCTCTAGCTCGGACTTCAATGACAAATCAAGTTATTTTTGGCTGACCTGATTGTTTGCATATTCATTCTTCAGCAAGTGCATGGACAACATAGCCATACACCAATACAATGGAAATATAGAACTGAGTCTGTGACTGGCCAATCACGAGACCACGTGATAAACGCTGCTTATAATTTGGAATCGCACTTATGATCCGGACATAAGGAGTGCCCGGAGCGTCAGTGTGATACCAAATTATCCGCAGCAATTATCACATGGCCTCATGCCTGGCCCGTCTGACGCTGCCCGCAATGTGCAACTACAAAAACGGTGTCTGGGATCGGTTTCCAGACCAAAAGGCTCTGACGTCACGCCAACAAGGCTTTACGCGCCTGCACGTTAAATTTTTAAAACTCAAGCTGTAGTATAGTGTTGACAAACGTCAACGCCGGCCTGATGGGCCACATAGGCTCATGACAGACTTTACTTACTTCTTTTACATACCCAGCCAGATGTTTGTCAGAATTTTTTCTCCCTATTTTTTGGGGCATTTTCAAAGGGTTCACATTGCACTTATAAAATAAAATTGGGAAATTACCCCAAAATAAATTTTTCTTCTAACTTTGTAACTGGTAAATAAACTTGCAATTTATGAATGGGAGTGTTTAGAATTTGATGAAATTTCACTTTCTGTGAAATTTCAGTTGAAACTTTTGTTCTAGCTAGAGGCGCCACAGGTGAAAAATCTAAGAGGACCACGTTGGGGCCGCGCCACGTTAGGGTACATCAACAATACTGCGGTAGCTCCAAAACTCACTGCATGGCCACATGCTGACCGATTGTATAATATTCTTGGAGTACACAGCATGTTCACATTGATATGCCTACCTATGGGAAGTAATACCCATGGTTCTAGGGGTACTGGCAGTGGCAGTAGGCTAGCCCTATAAATGTGGCTAATTTATTGGTTTACCTCCATATGGCCACACTTCCACCATGTACAAAAACATGTAGAACTTTGACAAATTTAGATTTTCACATTTAGGCTTAGTCAGTTTATTTTTGCTTTAGGAGCATAGACCTGCTCACCCTCTTTATGGGCTAATCAGAAAGTGCTGCCTTTTTCAGATGTACAATTTTTGTGAAATTTCATGTCATACATGTTGAAATATTAATACACAAACGTATGCAAACGTGCATATGAATCTGGAAATTCCACAAAAATAGACATCTGAAAAGGCAGCACTTTCTGATTAGCCTAGTATAAAGAGATTGACAAAAACAACATCATATCATGGTTGAAACTAAGTTACGTATTATTTGTGACCAAATTCCTACTACATTGTGACGTTGTTGTTATGTCAAATTCTGACGTTA